GACTACCCACAGCCCTACCCACAGGCATTCCTTTTTGTTAAGTCTGCAAAAAAAAAAAAAAGTTCAGACCATAGCAGTACTTCTAGCCCAAAATATCTAGCCAGGTATCCAAGATAGATTCTCTAAATCTAGATATTCCTCAAGTACCATACAGTCCTAACTATTTGGGCCCAAATGAAGAGGATGGCCAAGAAGAATGGCTGCAGCCCACACCCTCAGCTTAATGGTCTGCTTTTAGAACAGCAGTAAAATGGTGACTGCATGCTCTGTTTCTTCTTCGAGGTGCATACCATTCGCAGCGCCAGTCACGCAGCTACTTACTGAGATAGAGGGGGAGCTGAGAGTTGTTGTGAGCCTCTCTGTAAGCGATAAGGTTGATCTCGTTCTGACGACGCTGCTGCTGGAAGCGCTGCTTGGAGCGCCAGTGCTGGCACACGCAGATGCAGGTCAGAATAATGATTAGAGCCCACACTAACCAAAACCCTGCAAAAAAAAAAAAAAAAAAAAAGCATGAGTAAAGAGGGGTTAACTTAGTATAAATAAGGGACAGGTGTAAATAAAAAGAAAAGTCGGTTGTCATTCTCTTACACCACAGTTCATAGTAGTAGCTGCAGCATTGTTTCTCTCCACAGCAGTGACCTGACTCACAGAAGTAGCTTTGGTTATTGGCTCCTTGGCACAGCAACCTGGCCTGTGAAAACACAAATACCTGATGATACATTGATTTGAAGTACAAAAAAAACCCCAACATGTATTATTATAACAAACTGTATTTATAAGCTGCGTGTGTGCAATAAATGTACACAAATAAAACAGACTGAACAAACTACAGTCCAAATCATCAACATACAGAGACAACAGAAAGTTTTGACGGTTTTTTTTTTCTTGCAACATTCCACCTGAAAACTTTTTTTTTTTTACAGTGACATACAGTAATTGATTGCAGGTGTTATGTAAACCTGAAACCAGCATAATGAACATTCCTGAACATGTTTTTTGTTCTGCAGAAGTCGGAATTTCGTTTGAACCAATTTTCAATAATTATATCTTACACCCTGTAGCAAACGGCTCAGCACAAAAACAATAACACCTCCAATCACGGCAGGGTTTTTAATCCGAAGAATAACACGTTTTTGGAAAACACGTACTCGTGATAGCCCACTGTCACTAACTTGGCTTGTCTGGTAAACAACGTTTGCTCTCATTTGCATCAAACAAGAAAATGACCAAAACAAGTAATAACAAAATTGCTTATATGATTACTCAGAACTCATTGATTGAATTTTATGTGTACATCAAAAAGCTCCATGGCACAAATGGTACCTCAAAGAGCGTGCCTAAAGAATATTACTATTATATTAATAGAAGAACATAACCAAGACTGATGTGAATATACATCAAAGCAGGAAGTGACAATGTCTTACCTTACCTTTTATATACTAATTCTATGTCAACTAAATGTCTTACATCACCTCAAATCTGGGACAGTAGAAATGCACTTGATAAACTCTTATACTCTACCGTCCATATAATTTCATCCCTAATGAATAAAAATACAAAATAAGATTTTAACACTTTAATGACAGAGAAACGTTTCAAACAATCTACCAGCAATTCATTTTGTCTTTTGAGAATAAGTGTCAAATGCAAGGACATTATTTTCAGTTTGGCAGCAAGGGTTTAAATATCTTTTCAAGTAAGACTGTCGTGTTGATGTTGGTGCTGTCACCAATACAAAACAGATAGAACATGATGTAACACCTGATGTGTAGCAAGCAAATGTGTTTGCCTTGTTCTCTTTCACTCCTTTGGTTTTAACTACATTTGCTCACCTTTCATTTTACCCAATAATATTTTTTTCGTTGCACTTATACACGTGAAAGGACTAAATGGCGACTCCTTACATTCATTACTTTGCCAAGACCAAAAAAAACAAAAACAAACATATGTTGTGTTCACTTGTCAATGACTGTCTTTTTGATCGAAACCAACCATTTTTAATAGTCTGAATGTGTGGTTTAGTATAGAAAAATAGTCCTGACGAAGAAAAGAAATGTTTAAAATTAGCACGTTTTTTCTTTTTTCTTTTTTTTTGTGTTCTGAATCACGTGTTGTAGTGTTTGGGAAAAAACTGTAAAACGAATGTGACGCTTTCGTGAAAAACATGTCTACAACTTTACGTAGGTTGATAGATGTTACAGCAAGAAGAGTAATCAGTGCCACTTTCGGAGAGCTCTAATTATGTTTTAGAACAGGACGGGTGAAGACGAAATAAAAAATAAAAAAAGTTAGAGGAAGTTAGCAAAAAAATAACCAAAGTTAGTAGGCTCCAACTCTTCGCTCTGCTAACCCTGGAAACAAGGACTGCCAACACCTAGCCTTTTAAACAACAGGAAGAAAAACAAAATCAACACAGCAAACAAACTACTAGCAGGTACCTAGTAATTGCAATACGTTTAGCTGACAGACTAGCTAAGATAACCTAGCTGGTTATCTAAGAGGGCTGTTACAGAACGTCGCACAGCTAATACCTCTTTCTCTGTCGCCAGTGTCGGAGAAGGTTCCAGTTGAACCGTCATTGTCAATAGGTGGAGGCTAGTTATACAGTATCCAATTGTTAATAAACCATCGCACTGATAGCATAAAAACAACCATTAAGTCCAACTCTGGGCCTCAGCGGTTCACCAAAACAAAACAAGTAGAGCTAACTTTCAACACTTGTTTCTTCGGCCCCTCCCTACAGCGCTACTATTGGTCTGTTCGTGAGTATGAGCTTTCCTCGAACAGTTATTGGTTAAGGCTGCTTGTCAGTCAGTAACAATTCAGTTCCTCTGTCTTCCGTTTTCCAATATTTTTCTACTTCTAGTTTATTAAACCCTTCTCAGTTGTTTATTAATAGAGTTTTGCAGTAAACTTTTTAATTACTGACTCTATATCTCACATATTTTTTACAGGTCCCAGTTAATAGCTGTTAACAGCGCAATATTTAAAAAATATTTAGAAAGCCCAAATTTAAAAGTAATATATATTTAAAAATACGTAAATGTAATGAAAAGATAACGTAGCGCTCTCTCTATATATAAATATATATACTGTGTGTGTGTGTGTGTATGTACTGTATATGTAAAGAAGGTAATTATTCACAGCATGTGACGAAATAACTAGTGTACGCTCCTCGGTGTATGCGCATGTTTCCTGTGTTCTCCAGCGACATCATCTGGTTGCTTACAACACGGCACCAGCAGGAGTTGAAGCCATTTCAATTTGTAATTCACTTGTTACTTATTTAAAGACTTAATTATGATTAATTGGAAAGCTTTATTCCTACCTAATCCCATCCTGGCTGGAAATGCTAATAAACCTGTCCTCGGTTTTTGTCATATCCTTGATTATGTTCTGACATATTGCAAAAATGATAAAAACGTTTTCTTTTCCCTAAAATCCAAATTACAATTTCATTGCCACTCTTAACAACAAGGTTCTGTAACAGAAAAAAATTGAGCTCCTTGGATATGTTCACAAACTCACTTTTAAATTATAAGGAAACTGGTGTTCCACAAATTTAGAGTCATACAGTATGTAAAAAAACTGTTTTCCTGACTGTAAGAAAGGCAGGTGTAACTGGCTTTA